ATTTAAAACATAATGTTCCACTCGTGGAACATTGGCATTGCAAAAGTTCTAATATTAGATTTCAAGAGATTCATTGAGTTACACTGTGTGTAATTCATTCAGTTGGTATTAATGCACTTAGTCTAGATAAATAGCGATGTTTATGTTAATTTTATTTTGACATAAATTTGCAGGTGACTGTCAGTGACAGTCACCTGACATAATAGAATCATAGTGACAGAATACTTAGATAGCAATGCAAGATATCCACGAGTTTATGCAAAGTATTTTTCTCTTCTGTTGAAATTCTAAAAATGGAAGAAAAAAATTCTTTCAGATAATAGGCTGACTTTGAGGATTTGTTATACATTTTTGCTCTGTTTGACATCGGTAAAGTTAAAATTTAACCTCAAAGGAATTATTCAATGTGTTCCTATTAATGGATTATACAGTTTTGATTACAGATTTATTAATATTTAGGCTAAGTGCATTTTGTTTTACTGCAGTTATTTACTGTTATTATAACTATTATATGCAATTAAAAGCATAGTACGTGTAAATAAGAGAAATGCGCATGTTCGAGATGAAGTTCGGTCCGAATCTTAATTATAAAAGAGTCTTAGCACGGAAACAGATTCATATTGTACTAAAGAGTAAAAATCTTAATTATAGCTTGCAGTGCAATATAATTCAGACCGTATACTAACTTAAAACGCATATTAAAAATTAACATACCAGCCTGAATAACTTTTGATCTAATGATTGGATCGTCACGTTCTAGAACTCAGTTTTAATGGTTCAAGGAGGTGATCTTAAATATGCTAGTTAATTAGTGCAAACGATATTTTATGTTACGAAATCAGACACAAAAACGTACTTTCTCTGAAGAAACATATCTTTTTTTTGTTGATAAATTCAGATTTCTGGCACCCAAAATTCTGGGGGCAGCCACAATATAGGAAATATTGTCCCAATACCTTGGTCAGGAAAGCGGTTCGAAGTCTGGACCTCTTAATGCTAACTTTATTTTTTACGTATTTAGCTATATCCTGAGAACGTCTTTAATCGAGTTGAAAACCCTTTGCACCAAATAGTGTAATTTGTTTATCTAAAGATAATTTCATGCAAAAAATAGCTTTTAGTAAATATTTATTATTTTATTTAATAATATTCCAAAAAGTTTAATTTTAAGTTTCACGATTTTTTTACATCACTTTAAAAAATGTAATTTTACAATGCAAAATACAAGATTTGAGCGCAATCGGTCGAGCAGTTCCTGCGAAATCAAATTTTAAGTATACGTTTTTTTTTCTTCTAAATTCGATTTCTCAGGAACTATCCGATCGATTGCTCTCAAATTTTGTATTCTCTCATGTAAAATTACATTCCTTAAAATGATGAATAAAATTGCATACCTGACAATTGAAATTTTTTGGACTAATATTAAATAAAATTTTTAAAGGAATTAAATACAGTCACTAATTTATTTTTGCATGGAATTATCTTTGGATAAATGAATTTTATAATTGCGTGTTAAAATTTTTCAATTTGCTTAAAAAGTTCTCGAAATATGGCGAAATACGCAAAAAGTGAAATTAATATTAAGGGGTTCAAATTTTGAATCGCTTTCCTGACCAAACTATGGGTACCTGTTCCAGATTGCGGTTACCCAACCTCAAGATCACTCCAGCCCAGATTATTCCGATTGCGGTTGAGTTAGAAAGCCAAATCGGTCGAAAATAAAGTATGATTATTCACAGAAAGTGCGTTTTGTGTCTGGTTTCGTAACCTAAAATATCGTCTCCATTAATTAATTAGTATATTCAAGGCCACCCCCTTAAACCATTAGAATTGAGTCCTAGAACGTGAAATTCCGATCATTAGATCAAAAGTTCTTCAGGGTTGATCGTTAAATTTTTTGAGCACTGAACATGCATTTTTTTATAGGAGCCATTGAAGATAAAAGCTAATCACAGTATATAATTAATTTAATGATGCCGTATATAAAAATCATAATGATAATATATTTAACTTTCTTAATGATACTTTATATAAAGACATATGTGAGATATGTGTATTTGGTGATAGGTCCAATCCTTAATTTATAGTTCAAACTTTAATCATGAGTAATTATAAAAGATCATCAATTTGTAGTAGAGCATGAGTTTTTCCGTTTATTAAAGTAAGACGCTTAAACCAGAGAATGGTTTCTATAGCTTTTAACATAAATTGAAAAAGAAGATGAACTGTAGTATAACATCCTTATTCTTCCTTGTTAAAAGCATCATTCAAATAATTTATAAAAAAAAACTTGTAATTTCAGTTATTATTTATAACAAAAAATGCAAATATTTGTTATCGAACACACGAAGTTCATTTATATCTATAATTTCTGGTTTTTATCTATATTATGTTTTTAAAACAATAAAAGCGTTCATGAGTATTCTTCTATCCACCCTTTAACGCAAATTTTCAGTAAACATATTTTTCAAATCTTTAGTAAACATAATTTGCCCGGTGGCTGAGTGGTAGCGCTTCGCGCTCCCGTGCCACAGGTTCTGGGTTCGATCCTCGGACCGGGCAAGGTTGACTCAGCCTTTCATTCCTTCAGTGGGTCGATAAATGAGTACCAAACACCTTTGGGAACTAAAAACTGAGGCTCTGACGTTCGGCTGACCACCTAACAGGAACCTACTCTGCTCCTGCACCCCAGAACCCAAGTTCAAGATTTGCACAGTAGGCCTTGACCCTCTATGGGCTGTCGTGCCACTGAGTTTAGTTTTATTTTTCATACTTTTTCCAGTATTCCGTATTAATTTAGGTCAAAATAAATGAAACATATTATATTTAGAATTTAATAATTTATGGTAGTGAAATACACCATGAAAAAGTGTCTTTTTCTGAGGTAAAGGTAAAACCTTCAAATTACGACTCACTTCCAAACAATAATTTCTCAAAGTTGCACTTATTCACAGTTATTTAGATCTAACAGAAACAGTTATTCATCATTAAACTTTCTTTAATTCACAAAATTTAATCATTGATTAATATTTGAAAGAAAAATATAAAAAAATCTAACTATTTATTTTATTTTTATATTTTTGCAGAAATATAATTCCGATAATCAAACAGATTCGTTCAGTAATTATTATACTGTGTTTTATAACTGAAAATACTAAAATCTATATTTGCTTGCAACTAGATCGTCAGAAAAAAATATATGAAAGGGCTGTCAACGTTCCACCGGTGGCAAAGGGTTAATGATCTTTCAGTTCAAATATAAATCAGACAGTGATCATTGTGATATTAAAAAATTCTGTATTCTGTTATCAAGCACCAAAGTATCAAATCTTTCCCCATTTAAAATTGTCCTCTTTAGATGCGATCATCACCTTACATACTCGGGCATTTTATTTATAGTTTGTCCGAATACACCGATTCAATATTATTCCAATTGTACTGGATTAACTTCAATATCAAATAATGCTGTTTTGAATATTTAAAGCTTTTTAAACCGAGATAAATCTTTGGTCTTTTTTTTCGTTTTAAAACAATATATTTCTAAAATAAATAATACAACGTACTTGCACGAACAATTCACATATGTATAACTCAATGCTTGTACTTCGTACAGAGAATAAAAAACACTTACTTTTCTTTAAATAGTAAATTGGATGTAAAAAACAGTTATAATAATGAGTATTAAATTAGTAAAATAAATCAATGAGTATCAAATTAGTAAAATAATTGACACAATTTAAAATTTCTTCTAAATAACGCGTGAAGTAATCCATGTGTTTAAGAGAAACATTCAAACTAAACTTTTATTTTTTTAATTCTTTTCGATTGCTTAGCTGACTATGAGTAGAAACAGAGAACAATAGATTAAACTTAAAGCTTTCACCATCGTTTGATGAAGAAATGGGTGAAAGCAGTGTTAAAATCAACAGATACGCAAATATTAATCTAAGACTTCTTTTCTTACTTTAAAACTTCTAACTTCCATTAATCAGCATGTTTTTATATGCTGTATATGATATTGATAATGACAATACTAATTTTTCCAATTCCAAAAATTCCTCCAACTGGTTTAATACATAAATGTTTCTGAAATCAAGGGATTTGTTGATGTTATTATGAATAAAGAAAAATTGTTATTGTTCTTTTTTAAAATAATGAGAAAACTATATTAGTATTTGAATAAAAATGTGAAATGAGATTAAATTTTGCTCTTTCCTCTCTTTGAACTTCAAATAATATTGTTTTGAAACTTCAAAAACCTTTAAAGCAAGTTATAGTATTTTTTTTAAATATATCTCTAAAACTTAGCAAAACGATTCCATAGATGTTTTGATATGTATGTCTTAGTATTTAAGGTATTTTATTTTTTTTAAAGAATTACGAACTATTAATGAAGCTGCAATAATAAAATATTATTAATTATAAATTATATTTTCGAATTGCATTTTTTAAAATTCACTAAAGACAAATGATACTTCAAATAATTTTAATTAAAAAAAATCAAAAGTAGTTAATATTAATTAAATAAAAAATAAATTAATATATTGTAATTCATAAATATAATAATATAAAAATTAGCTTTATAAAAGAAGCTTAATTTAATAGAATATGAAAACTTATTTAAAGTGGTTTGGAGAAGGTTTATAAGCAAATTTATTATACTTATTTAATAGTATAACAGCACGAACAATTTCAGATGAATTTAAGCATTTTTTAAAAGAGAAATTAGGTCAAAACAAATTATAAATAAAACTTTGAAATTCATAAAGTATTTTTAATAAACGAAATAATTTATCAGTTTTTATTTTGAGCATACAAAATTCCCTTCTATAATTTTAGTATTTTTTTTCTCATCAAAATTCTTGTTCTTGTTTTGATGATATAAATAATAATAACATCTTTCGATAATTCTTACATAATTATAGAAAAATTATGCTCAAACGAATTATTAAAAAGTTATGGAATATAAAAAATCTCACAACTAATATAAAGTAACTTACCCTGAATTCCAATAGTTTTAAACTACATTTTCAGCCACACAATACAATCCATTGAAATTCACAATCCAAAAAGTTTCTTCACTTCAAATCACTTTGACAGTTCAATAATATATCCTCCTCAAAAACTACTACAGAAAGAGAAAAAGTGAAAGTCTAATAATTCTTTTTATGCTCAAAATTTTAATCCGTTCACGGAAAAGAGAAACTTCATAAAATAATTCCCGAAATGGAGAAATTGGGAAGCAATCAACAAATCAATTGAAAACTTTTTTCCGGACATGAGATAATTTCCGTCATCAAATAAATTCTTTCCGGAAACTTAGTGAACAGGCACGAGATCCTTTCTGGTAAAGTCCCGCTCTTCATCCCATTCGGAAGAGAAACTATGATGTGAGAGGGTGAGCATCCCCCGCATCCCATCCTCATAGGTTGCTCGGGCGATATTTTGTCCACTCTCAGTCGCCAAGAAGGACGCCAAAAGTTAGAGCCATTAAATAGCAATAAAGTTACGCTACATAACTCGTAATGAGATCGTTCCATGATGAGAATCTGGAGAAACGAGGACTGAAAATGGCGTTAATGCTATAGCCTTTGGATAAACATATAATTCAAGATAGCGAGAGAAATTTGCAAATTAAATAGAAAGTTACTAGGAATGATTATTGATTTTAATCAGGGGTTGCTTTGGTTCAGTTGAGAAATTTAAAGAAAAAATTTCTCTCACTTATTTTATAAATTCTATAATTATTCTGTAATTTTGTGCTCTTTTTTGAATTAAAAGACACAATTAAATGTCAAAGAAGAAGCGTTTGATAATTTTTTAAACTATGAAAACAAGATTCTGAAGCATTTGACATATTTTTAAAAAAAAACAATAATTCTTTTTGACTATGCTAACTACAAAAATATAGAGTAATCAGGAATATATTTCCTTTCCAAACAAATGAGCGTAAGCTCGAATATGTTCATTTGTTTCCCTTTAATTTAAAATAGTTGAATAATTGAAACTGCTTTGAAAAATATTGCTTTAAATAATCATAACAAAAATGATTACTATTCTATTTTAGTATAACATTATTTTAATCATTATAGTAATTTAAATAATTATGTGAATACATATAAAAGGAAAATATAATAAGTTAATATACGCATATAATATACAATAATACATACATATAACATATAAAAATACATATAATATATAATAATGCATCCACCTTGTTTCAATGTCTATTTAATATATCTTTAAAGATGTATTATATGAATCCATAAATTTAATTCGAATGAAAAAAATAATCTTTTTCTATGCAATTGTGTAAAATATTTAGGACTAAAAATTTTATATTATTTATTCTGCTGCAGTGCAGTGTATATATTTTTTAAAATTTGATGAATATTCATTTCATAATACGTATTCTAGTATGAATAACATTTATTTATTTAAAATAATACTGAACATCCAATTGAAATGAAAGTGAATATTCTCTTTTAGTTGAACAGGCTCTCAAATAAATTAAAGACGATATTTTATCGATATGAAATTTGGAAAAGTTGCCAAAAGAGTTATTTTCTTTATTTAAAGAAGGGAGCCACATTTGGCGACTTATCCAAAGGCTTAATTATGATTTCGATTTCAGATGTATTCAATAGTCAAAATAAACATCATAGCATTTTAAAACTTATTAAGTGAACTATTTTTAAAATGTATGGACTTAAAATTTTGCGAGGTTAATTCACACTGAAAAAGAGTGGCTATCAAAGTAATAATAAATATTATTAAGCATGGGGCATTTTCTATTAGATTTTGAACTGTACTATATTATTTATCTCTTATAGAACGATTAAATCAACGCCTATTAAGTCAGTTCTATTTTAATTGAAAATAACGTATACATGTTTCAAGTGCTTTAAAGAAGGTGTTTATTTCAAGACTTGCCAGACATGAATGAAAAGAAACAAACGCGATTTAAAATATGAAATGTAAAGCTGCCATCAAAAAATGAAAAAGATAAGAAACAAAACCTGAAAAAAAAAACGTAATCGTGAGAGAGAGAAAAAACGAAAAACAGAACAATGAAAACCACAGTGGCCGAGATAGGCAAATCAGGATAAAATGCATTTCCTCAAGCCACATTTTATCGTGGTGCGGTAGTGGTGGATAGGTGGTTAACAACTAATGCCGTTAACAAGGGAATCAGCATTCATATGAATAAAACAAGATTCCAGAGCATCAAGGTGAGCTGATGTGACTAGGAAGGAAAAATTTTCGGCATTTTCGATATTGAATTTATGCCTAAGATTTCAACAATGCGCAGGAATTGATGATTTCTCGTATTCTTAATAATGGATTTATATATATCGTTCCTTGAATTTAAATTTTCAAACGCGTCTAGTTTGTCCGATTTAGCCAAGGTGGCACTGACCACTTCAGTTTCTTATAATTATTTATTCAAGAAAGAAAAGTAGTTATTAATTTTAATTGTATTGAGAAATTGTATTGACAATATTGAGAAAGGTTTGTCTTTTTTTTAAAAGTATTTTATTACCATAAACGTTGCAATAAAATAAATAATGCTTTTCACTCAAGAAAAATCAAACAATATTTTATTTAAGCGATAACTCTTTTTACTATTTACTAAAACAAAACAACCTTAATGTAAAAGAAATCAAATATGCATTGCGAGAAATATATAAATCATAGTGTAAGAAAAATAAACATTGAAAGAAGTAAAATGTTTTTCATGAAAATAATACTACTTTCTTGACGTATCCTCGCTTTTAAAGCATGTCGAATCCTCTTGAGAACTTACCGATATCCATTTTCTGCCGGATGTATTATATAAAAATAAAAAAAAAATCTCTTCATGGAAGATATATTTCTAACGTTTGTAGCATTATTTGCAGCTTGAATAAATTTTTATACAAATAGTTTCGCAAGTGACCTTTTCTATAAGATTATAAAAACATATATATAGGGGCTTAACGTAATATTGAAGTCAATATTGAAGGAATCTGTGAGCCAACAAAGCAACATAAATTTCATAAATATTTATAAAATAAAAATTTTCCTACACTGAAATGAAGTTTTAATGGTTTTAAAGTATTCAAGGTGAGTTTTTTAAAATATTTAATTGAACAAGCGAAAAAACGGTTTCTTTATTTTCTGGAGAAAAAAAATATTTTAAATATTTCTGAATAATTTTAAATTTTTTCCAGTTCAAACTTTCTTTTTCTGAAACCTACAGAGAATTACGTGAACGCATTTTGTTTAAATAGGTAGCTACTTTATTGTTTGTAATATTTTTTTGGTTTATTTTATTACTGAAATTTGTTATATTGAATCTAATTACCCAGTTTCCAATTTTTCAATATTTTAATTATTTTTCCAAACAATAATAGTTTAAAAAAAAAGGTATGAAAAACTTACAATTTTTGAATAAAAATTTGATCACGAGATTTAATAGTACTCCTTTTAATAAATCAAATGGAGAACAAAGTATTCCAAAAATCACTTAGTTACTTAATAAATAAGGAAATCTCACACGTAACTGTAAGTTACGAAATGAAAAAAAGAATTTGTTAGCTCTGATAAGTGGAATTGCTGTTTATAAATGTTTGTAATTTTTTATCGATAAATAAAACTGACTAATTTCAATTATAAAATAGTCATAATTCCTTTTTTATTTTTCAATACAATTACGACAAAATGATTATATGTATGTGTATGCATGCACTATTAGAAAATCTGCAATTCTGAACCATTCCAGACCAAATTTAGAACAGATGAAGATCAGGGGGGTGGGAACGGATTATGTCCATTTCTCACAAGAATGACAACGGGATCACCATCTATCGCAATTTGAAAATTATTAAGTTTTGATTAATCGATAACGTGAAAAATTCATTTATTCCGAGAGTTATTAGACAGTGAAAAGGGGTCATACTGTAGAAAAACCCATTCATCCAGCGTGCAAAATTTATGTTTTCTCTGAATCAGCTTTTATGGACGTAAGCCGTTTTCCCCCATTGTCTTTAAATACGCTTGAACAATTGGCTTTAATTACTGTCTAGTTTAAAACTCTATCTGACCACCAATTCTCGCTTTGCATCTCCAAAAAATTGATATTATACATAAATATTTGGTCCATATAGATAGTTATTAACAAGAAGTGATAAAATAGATTTGTGGCTATTTATTAAGCCATAGGAAAATGTGGTAAATTCTTAATATCGCATTTTAAAATATACTATATGTGTACATAATCTTCCTTTTAGTGCGTTGAACTTCTAACACATATTGTGATAAATCTCATAGCACAAAGCAACGCCAGAATATACAATAAATCAATAAAGAAAGTAAAGGTTGTGTGTTAAGACCTATGAATGTGAAGTATTCTGGTACTGCAGGGAGAAAAAAATTCAGTTGAAATCACAATACTTATAAGGAAAAAGCATTTCCGGTCAAGGAATCACAATTCTAAGAATTAAATCAAAACATATGTAAACCGTGTCTATAGTAGCTTAACCGTTCACAGTTGTTATTGTTTAAAGGAAATTCTAATTTTAAAAATTATATTTCTTATTACAATGCATTAAGCAACAAATACAAATCTTAAAATTAAATTCAACCAAATAAATGTTTTTATGCCATGCTCAAAAGTATAATGCTAAAATCATCAAAATGCCCTTCAGAACTATCATTTATGATAATATTTATTTGGAAATTTCAACCAATTGATGTCTATGCCTATTATCTAAATAGAACAATAGTAAATTGTTTTTAATTTATGGTTTATTTAAAATGGAGCTTTATTTAAATGGTTGATAAGAGTTCTATGACAGTTCATTATATATTTTCCTAATATATTCCCTAGTTATAACAATAAAGAAAATGGACATGAATGATGCTTACATGCTTAATTTTAAAGATGCAAATCACTGATATATCAAAGCTATAATGTCTGTTTTACCCTACTTTAAGGGGATTATTGGGATTTAATTATTATTTCAAATACAAATGTGGGTTTCTTTGTATTTACCTGAGGATGACCTGAAGATACGTTATCATAATTTTGATCCTCTGCAGAGGAAATGGATGGAAGCCCGCTTCGGTAGCCCGGCAACCTGCGCGAAGTCGAGTACTTTACATCAGAACAGTTTAACAAGGATAAATACCGTACGCCCTCGGTCTCTTCGCAACCGTATTTTAACGATAGGTTCACTGCCTGACACACACACACGCACGCACGCACATANATTTACAGAGTTGTCAATTTAATACCTTATTTTTTCAAATTTTAATTTATTTTTGCACAGGAGAATATTCTTTTGACTTACTGCATGATTATATATTTGTTATATATATATATATTTGTAACATCTAAAATAATAGCTTATAATAGC